GGGGGTTATGAACGATTCCTTCCATACAGTTGGAAAAACGCCCTTTTTAAGAGACAAATTAAATAAGGCTGTTAACGGCTCATAGAGATAATCAGCACAATTTCTACGAGAACAAGTGGGGATCTGGTCAGGACCATAACTAAAAGACTGCTTTAAGGACTTCAGGTAAACTAAAACATGCATGGACTTTGGCAGATTCAGCCACTGTCTCTTGGAAGGGGCGCTTCCTATTAGTGGAAGGTAACGTGTGCGTTGGTGTAGGACGGGTTGTCTGTGTAGTGGGAGTCACTACTCCCACTGGTGGTGGTTGGTTGTGCCTTATAGGAGATTGAAGGGTGGTTGTTTGTTGCCTTCGTTGGTCAAGTGTTGGCGATTCAGTCACAAGTAAAGGAGGCATTTCCTCCAACGACGAATGTCTTGAGGCCGCCGTCGAAGGAATGCCGAAAACTCTGCCGCTCGGGGCTGCTGACCTTGAAATAAAAACCAGGCTGTCTATGGCCTGCTCCATTTCGGAAAGCGGAGAGTGCCGGAATGGGCCACCACCGGTAGCAGTAAGGCTTCGTGTGTTTTCGACAACCTTCTTTTTTGTCCGGCTTTTCAAGTCAGCCCATATCTTGAACAATAGAATAAAATAAAATTCAATGTCAGTAAAATGGAAATAGTGCGCAAGCATTTATCTACCACATACAATTTATGCACTTATGCTTACTTTCTTCCATTCGACGGCCGTTCTTGTAGGTGGACCATGAGAATTAATTTTCCTCATAATTTCCTCCCACCGCTCCTCTACCCTTCCTCGATCAGATCCAAACACTGCAACACCTCTGGCCAGGTCAGGATTTCCCTCCATTTCTTTTACCGGTACTTCAAATTGAGTGGTTGTAGTTTTTTTCACCGCTACAAGCATAAATATTAATATATTTCCTTAAACCAAGTTATATTTTTTTATTTTCTTACTTTTCCTGGCAGAACCCTTCATCTTAACGATCACTAATAACCTTTCGTCTGTTTCCAACGATTGTCGTCTCACTTTCGTTTCTATTCGCCTTAAAA